CCCCCGCTTAGCCTCCAGAGTGATGACCCTCCATGGAGCAGACTTCTAGAAGTTCAGATTTTGTGCTCTGCTGCTCCACCACTTCCCAGGAGCCGGCCCCTCCCCTTGCGGTCGATCTTCCCGTTGCTTTGGACTCACTTCTATGCACGTCCTATCTTCCCGAAAGTGGTCGATTTTCTGGTCCTAGAGTTGTTGCTCTTCTTCTCTGATCTCTTGGTGGGTTTGTAGGTGTTCACACTGGTTTGATGACTATCTAGCTGAACTCCTGGGATCTAACGCTATTTCAGTTTTCTATTCCTCCGCCATCTTGCTTCCTCTCCAATAAATCTTTTTTTCTTTAAAGATTCTCCTTATTTATTTGACAGAGAGAGATAGCAAGAGCAGGAACACAAGCAGGGAGAGTGGGAGAGGGAGAAGTCGGCTTCCCACCAATCAGGGAACCCAATGTGGGTCTCAATCCCAGGACTCTGGGATCATGACCTGAGCAGAAGGCAGATGCTTGATGACTGAGCCACTCAGGCTCCCCTAAATAAATAAATAAATTTTAAAAAATTTTTTTCATTTATTTAACAGAGAGAGAGATCACAAGGAGGCAGAGAGGCAGGCAGAGAGAGAGAGAGGAGGAAGCAGGCTCCCCACCAAGCAGAGATCCCGATGCGGGGCTCGATCCCAGGACCCTGAGACTACGACCTGAGCCAAAGGCGGAGGTCTAACCCACTGAACCACCCAGACACCCCAATAAATAAATAAATCTTGAAAAAAAGAAAAAGAAAAGCAGTTGGTCATAAATATAAGAGTTTATTACTGGATTCTTAATGGTATTCCCTTCATCTGTATGTTTATCCTTTTGCAAGTATCCTCCTCTTTGGTCTTTCCCTCTCCTTCATCCTCCATCCATCCAGTCAACGACAGCAAACTCTGCGTCTGTCTGGGATCGGTGCTGTGTCTGGACATGGGCCTATGACAGTAAGCAGGACAGATACTCTCTCTGGCCTCACAGACCCAACATTCTTCTGGGGGCGGCTGCACAATAGGCAAGTAAAGAGATTAAGGAAAAAGATGATTTCAGACAGTGACTAGTGCTGCGGAAACCAAAAGGAGGTTATGTGATAGAGAGTGACCAGTGGACATTACAGAGGGGCTTTTTAAATTGGGGTGCAGGGGAAAGCCTCTCTGAGGGTATCACTGGAGGTCTGGGTCGGAGGTCAGCTCTGCAGTGCTTGGGGTGGGCTGTGCTGGTCACAGGGGCAGTGTTTGCCTGAAGTGGAAACTGATGCCCAAGGAAGGGCTAAACAGAAACGCAGAGAAAGACAGAGGGGTAAACCCTGATCGTGACATGCCTGAAGCCCGCTTAGTTCTGGGCTTTTCAGTCTCTGAGCCATTACTTGCCCTCCCCTGTGGAAGCCTATCTGAGTAGAATTTTCTATTGTTGACAAGCAATAGTGTTCACACGGAAGGAACGGCTTGTTCCCCTACTAGACTGTAAGCCCCTGAGGGCTACAGGAGTACTTGTCGAACTTGGATTTGCACTCAGGGAGCTCTTGCATGTTAACATCTCTCTTGACAAAGTTTAAGAATCAAGAGCTTTCATAAAGAGGTCCAGATGCTTTTCTTTTCTTTTCTTTTTTAAAGATTTATTTATTTATTTGAGAGGGAGCACCAGCAAGCAAGGGGGGAAGGGCAGAGGGAGAGAAAGAGTCTCAAGCAGACCCCACGCTGACCATGGAACCAGACGCAGGGATCGATCCCACAACCCTGAGACCACGACCTGAGCGGAAGGCAAGAGTCCAACCCTCAGCGGACTGCACCACCCAGACATCCCTGTTTTGCTTTTCTTAGACGAGTGGAGGGCTTAGAGCCGCCAAGCTAAGATTCCTGCATCGCAAGGAGGGCAGAGCTGAGGGCCAGTTCTGAAGATGGGACTGGCAGCCAGGGGAGGGCAGAACAGAGGGCATCGCCTTCCCCAGAAACATTTTCCTTGCAGATGGCGTCTCAGCTCATTTACATTGCGCGCCTGCCCCCTGCAGGCAAGGGAGTTAGTGATTCCCCTTGAACACCTAACGGGCCCGGTTCCAGGAATGAGTGGGTGAATGGATGGATGAATGAATGAACAAATTCATAACACTCCCTTAGTTCCTGACACAGTGCATTACACAAAGTGTCAAATAGCTTTATCTGCTTTCTAAAGACCCATGAATTAGGTTGCTTTTCATGTGCGGATTTCGACTTAAACCACGATTGACAGGCATTTAGTTCCGGTGTGAAGTTTCTTTTTCTGCCTTTACTGGGCCGGCGGACCTCCGGGCGCTCGGAATCCCCTTCCCCGGAAGCCCGGCCCTTTACACGTTCCGTCCAGCAGGGGGCGACCACAACAACGAATAGAAGGAGAACAACCGCTTAAGGCGCTGCCCAGGCAAGGCGCCCCTTGGGGATGCTGAGCGGTGGAGGCATAATCAGGATGGGAGCCACCTTTCTGAGGGAGTGGGGGCGGGGGGCTTTACTTAATCTATTCTGAATAGATAATTTCTTCCCATGGTTCAGGAATAGGACGGAATAAATCTCCTTTCTATCCCCTTCCCCTTTCGCTTGATTTCCAACCTCACCTCTACGACAGGTGCGACTGACTTTTCTCTCGTGTGCACTTCGAAGGTTTCTATGCATGCATGAACAAATAGAAATATCCACTTACACGCCCAGCTTTACCGCAAAGCTAGCAACACCAAAGGGTGTGCTGAACGTATCGCTCTGTACCTCGCTTTGTGTGCTCATGATGGATCTGGTAGAATGTTCCACATCAGTCCACAGAAAAGGTACCCCTCCCCCACCCCAACCTCCCCTCCCCCATCTCTCTTTCACAGCTGCCTCAGTTCTCCAGGGCAGACCCCTGTCCTCATCTATTTGTCCTGTCCCACCACCCCCGCCCCGCCCCACCATTGACGGGCACTCAGGTTGCTCGTAACCGCCTGCTACTGGGAATAAAGGTCCGTGAATAACCTTGAAAAGAATTACACACATGTGAGCGTGAGCATAGTCGTGGCTGCAGCCCCCCGCTGTGCAAGAGAATCACCCAGGGGGCCTTTAAATATCCCAACCCCCAGGCGGAACCTCAGATTGATTACATCAAAATCTCTGAGCGTGGGGCCAGGGCATCCCTGGAACTCTAGAAAGCAGCCAGGCCTGGGGACCACTGACCTCCAGAGGAGCTTGGTGGCTCAAGAGCAGAGAGATTTGCAAATTTGCACTGCTTAATCTTTTGTTTTTACACTTCGTGTGAGACACTCTGGTTTTTTTGTTTTGTTTTGTTTTCCTTGAAGAAGACTTCTTATATATTTGATGTATCCACCTTTCGTTCCAGCTTCTGGACTTGGCTGAAGGACCTTTCCCACCCCAGACTCATGAAGACAGCTTCCCATGCTTTTCTTCTGCAACTTCTGCGGTTTCCTCTTCATATTTAAGTCTTTGATGCTTCTGGATTTATCCTGATTATTGATGTGAAGTAGGATTCTATCCTTGTTTTCTTTCCAATGGCCAATTATATCCTTACCTTTATCAAGGAGTAAGTTAGAAAGTGCTTTGGGCTACTTCAAACCCCTATTTGTTTTGTCTTTTTATATATAGCAACATTGGCTCCTATTCTCAAAAAGTGGTCCTGTCCACCTACCCATTTACCCGCCCACTGACTGACTGGTTCTTCTTGTTTGCCCCTGAGAATTTAATTATTAATTGGACATCTTCCCTGACTTTTTTGGATTTCTATTTAGGATTTCTCTTAACTACTTAGTGTGTAACCAACAACAATGACCTTCCATTGAATATCTAATATATTTGTTTATATGTTTATATGTATATTTCAGTTGAACCATAGACAAGCCCATGAGGTTAGTATTATTTTATCCAATTTGAGGAACGTGGTCTCAGAGTTTTTGAGGCTTGCGCAAGGGCCCAGAGTTAGAAAGTAGCAGTGCGGGATGCGATTCAGAAGCCTGGTTTCCGGGTCAGGTCTTTTTACCTGCCTCCTCACTGTAACCGGTCTTTTGTGGAATGGGAGGATGAGGAATGAATGAGTGAGTCCGTGAGGGACCGAGGAAGACAGAATGAGTCAGCTCTCGCACTCAGAGGAACCCAAAGGGGGAGATAAGACGTGAATGCAAATAACCAGAATACAAAGTAAACAGTGATCCCACCAGCGTTTTGGAAGCAATCCACTTTCTGTCCCCTCCTATTTGAAATGCTTAATGCTTTCCAGTGCCTCCCCACCTAGAAACCAGAGAGCCGGATACCGGGGTGGGGGCAGTGTCGTCCGGCTTGCAGCGTTAAGTCACCCATATGGAGGCCCCCTTTGGAGGCACGGAGCTCTGCAGCCCCGAAGCCTGGGTGGTGGGGGCAGGGAGGAGGAGGAGGAGGGCAGAAGGAAGGAGGCGGGGAGGGAGTAGCGGAGGAACAGAGCTTGAGGAGGACGGAACAGGGAGGAAGGAGAAGGGGTTGGTGTTGGGGATAATGCGGAGAGGAAGAAAAGGAAGAGAGAAGAAGAAGAAAGGGAGGCAGGGGAGGTAAAAGAGGAGGAGAAGGGGTTAGCGAAGTGGGAGGAGCAAGGAGGGGGAGGGGAAGAGAGGTTCAGGGAAGGGATAAAGAGGGGGAGACACAAGGAAGGGGAGGGGGAGAGCGAGTAAGGAGGGGTGAGGAAAAGGAGAAAGAGGAGTTGGGGAGGAGGAAATAGGGGGAGTTAGAGCAGAGAGTGGGTGACCGAGAAGGGGGTTGGGAGAAGAGAGGGGGCGGGAGGAGCGGAAAGCCCCTCCTCCAGCCCCCGCCGCGGAGTTGCGCAACCCTCCCGGACTGGGATTGGTCGTAGGCCAGGCAAGACGCCCCGCCCCCGAGGTCAGGCAGCCAATGGCCAGAGGGGGGCGTGGTGGAGCCGCCTGGGTCCCGGCGCGCGCTCCGTGCGCTCTCGGAGCCGCCGCCGCCGCGCTTGCAGCTCGCCGCTCGCTGCCCGCGTCGCTGTCGCTGTCGCCGTCGCCGCTGCCGCCCGCCCTCCGCGTGTCCCCGCCGCGCTCCAATCCCTGCGGCCGGCCCGGGGCGCGCTCGGTCGCTCGGGGCAGAGTGTCCCCGCTGCGGGCCTGCGGCGATGGCCACCAAGATCGACAAGGAGGCTTGCCGGGCGGCGTACAACCTGGTGCGCGACGACGGCTCGGCCGTCATCTGGTGAGGAACTTTCCATTGCTCTCCCGGCCGCGCTCTCCGAGCTCACCGGGGGCCTGGGGCACGGAGCCGGCTTCCGCACGGGACGGATTAAGGGTCATCCCGAGCTGTCTCCCGCAGCCTTAACGCAGGAGCGTGGAAAGCCAGCGCTGGCTTGTCCCCGGCCAGAGCATCTCTTAGATGGCCCTGCTGGAAGCTCGGCACCGTGCAGCTACTGCCGTCGCTGACGTGTGTGTGTGTTTTTTCTTCTCCCAATCCAAAGGGTGACTTTTAAGTATGACGGCTCCACCATCGTCCCCGGCGAGCAGGGAGCGGAGTACCAGGACTTCATCCTGGAGTGCACAGGTAGGGAAACGCGCCTTCGGGGGCAATTCCTGATCTTTCCGGCGATTGTCAACGCGGGAGGGGGAGGAGCTGCAGAGGCCAAACTGGGAGGAGCCTGGCCACCCCGGGTGCCTCGGACGCTGGAGGAACCCGATTTGAGGTTTTTAAAAGCCTCTCAAAGCGTGCTCCTCTCGACATCCAGAGCGACAGAGCTGGCCGCCTGCTCGCTCGTTGCTCCCTGCAGTACTGTCTCCAGAAGACACAGCTCCTTTGCTCCCTGCGGGTCACTGATTTTTTCCAAGGGTCCACTCTCTGTGGTTCCAACCTCGCGTTAAGCTTTCCCCACCATCCCCTGTCTTCGGCCAGTGAGCCAAAATAAAAACACAATCCTGGCTTATTGTAGGAGAAAGAAACTGTCAGCTGTCCCCTCCCTTCTCCCAAGCTCATTGTGAGCATGCTGGTCCCACATGCGTGTTTTTTATTGGTAGAATACAGAGCCACCAACGAAAAGGCAAAGCGAATCTGTGGTGTGACAAGTAGAATGGTGGTCACATTTTGAAGTAGATAGCCACTGACTGGGAGGGGCACACAGGAGGCTCAGGGGCGCTGGAGATGGCTCATATTTCCATCTGGGAGGTGGGTACACAGGTGTGTACATATGTAAGAAGTCATCAAGGAAAATGCTTACGATTTGTAAACTTCTTTCATTTCCCTGGGGTGTGTTAAGCCTTTGAAAGAAAGGAACACATGGTGTATGGAATCACAGACCTTTCAGTAGCAGCAAAAGGCTCAGCCTCCTTGGTAATAGGACCAGTTGGAGCCCAGAGTAGAGAATGAACTCTCTCCAGGTCTCTGGTCCCTAGCGTTGAAGCAGATGTGCAGACAAAGGCAGTGTAGCTTGGAGGTTAGGCAGGAGCCCTGAGCTGGCAAGTTGGGTTTGAATCGCCGAGTGGCCACCTCCTAGCTGTGTGGTTTGGGGTAAGTTACTTAACCTCTCAGGGTCTCGGTTTCCTTACCTGTAATCTTGGAAGGCTGTTCTGAGGATTGGCGAGTCCGTGTGTGGAAAATGCTCCAACACAGTGCTTATAGAAAACTACACGGTCATTTGTGAAACAAAGAAAAAGTTCAAAATTGTGCCATGGAACACGTGGCGGCTCCCCTCTGTGACTGTTTCCTTAACCAAGTGCTAGTTTGCCTTTAGTCTAATTGGAAGAATATTTATGAAGTGTCTGCCCCTGGGCTGGGGGGTAAAAGGTTTTGTTTTGTTTTTTAATGTTATCCCAATTAAAATGTCTTCCTGCGAGCTGCCTCTAAATGCCACTCCTTGCTTTTGTAAAGGGTCGGTTTAAAATATCAGATGTGCAAGGTACGGCAACAACTCACTTTCAGTAATGCATGGAGGGCCTCTCATGGAGAGCCCATGGGTTAGGATTTGAACTCAGGCCCCTGACTCAGGAGCCCTTTCTCTCTACCACTTCTACTCTTCCTCCCCCGTGGCAAATGCTCTTGCAAGTAGAGTAAGTGCCCACTCTTGGCTTTCCCCCAGTTTGGTGCACATCTAAGAGATTCAGCAGTATTTTTTGCCTTGTCGGATCAGAGGCTTTGTCTCCCAGGCCAGCTTCCCCCCTTCACTGAACTCAAGAACAGAAAACTAGCAGTTTCTTTCCTCCTGACCATCCATCACCACCCCCACCTCCCCCATCAGACTGAGTTTTGCTCCTGAAGCTATTGTTCTCCCCACCCAGAAGGAGAAGGTGACCCAAGGATGAAAGCGCACAGATACTGAACAGATGCTCCAGGCGGTTGGGCGAAGCTGGAAGGGCTTGGTGCCTTCAGAGAACACTTCCTTCCTCCCTTGGGCTTTGCAGGGGGTGGGGGGTGGGGTGTTACTCTGACCCTTCCCCCAACCAGCAGGGAAGCAGGGATGGGAGTGCCTGGCAGAGGGGGTGGGGCACTAAAAATGCTTTCCCTGCTGCTTGTTGATCTTATGAATGGGCTGTGGGATCTGAAGGCTCCGTCTGCTTTGGCTGGAAATCTGCCTGCCTTCCCCGGCCATCTGTTGGACAAATGTATAGGCGAGTTATGGTTGCTGTGTCTGCTCTGGTTCCTCTTGGAGACACGTGTTCCTTCCCCCAGCCGTGTCCTCATAACCTAGTGACAGAGGACTCAGAGCTCCTACTATTAACTTTACATATGCAAGTCACTGCACCTGATGTGCCTTATCTCCAAGACTGAGATCCGTCCCTTTCCATCACATAGGACGTGGTAGACCTGGGACTCGAACCCAGGCAGGCTGGCTGGAAGGCCTGTAGTCTTGGCCTCATCTCTAAGGAAGTGGGTTAAGATTTTTTTTTTTTTTAAGTTTTATATATTGAGTAATCTCTATACCCCATGTGGGGCTCAAACTCACGACCCTGAGATCAAGAGTTGCTTGCACTTCCGGCCGAACCATCCAGGCATCCTGGAAGTGGTTTATGTTCTCACCTCCCAGCGTGGAGGCTTCTTCGGGTTCATAGGTTCTGGTCAGGCCCCATGAAACTGTTTGCAGGTTGCAGGAGACATGCTTGCCCACTTACATGAAGCAGGGAGGGCTCTTTGAGCCCCTAATTCCCAGGCAGGTGTCCTGACAAGCCAGAGGGGCCCATGCTATGAGAACAGGCTCCCCTTCTGGCCCAGCCTTCCTGTTTCCAATCATCTAACAAGGAGGTCGGAGGGCTTGGAAGCCAGAACCAGCACCTGGTCTCTCCCTCCATCGGCGATGGGGTGTGGGGGGAGAGGGGGACAGTTTCCTTCTGGGCTTTCTCCCCTCCCTGACAGCCCCTCTTCTGGCATTCTCTCTGACGCACCCTTCTTTCCCACGCCTGTGCTCTGCTTCTCCCTCTCCTCTCTTCGTGCTCCCAGGCCTGGCTTCTCCTTGTCCACTGCAGCTGTTTTCTGGAAGGTCTCTCGTCTTGTTTCTGCAAGGAGAATTTGGAGCTCCCTGTGCTGTGTCCTGGCTCTTCTGGTGCTGGATGCATGTGGCCCCTCGTTCGGCACTCATCACTCCACCAGTGGCCCCGCTCTTGACACCTCACCACCCTGCCCAGCACCTCAGTCCCCTGAGATCTTGCAGGTGCAGAGGGAGAAATCTCACGCAGATTAGCTTAGGCAAAATGTCAGTCTGTAGCCTCCATGGTTAGGAAGGCCCAGGGGATTATTAGCTGCAGGTGAGGCTGCCCAAACTCAGAACCCCCTCCCTGCTCCCTCCCCTAGCTCTGCCTTTCTCCTTTCTTACTCTTCTTGGGGACAGGAGGCCATCATCTTCCTGAGTGGTGATACAGATGGCCACAAGCCAGGCTGGCTTCCAGGCCTTGGGCAGAGCCATCCCTGTGGGGAGAGGGAGACCCTTGGCCAATGACTCCAGTGGAAGTTTCCAAATTGACACACACTCCTTGCCCTGGTTGGGTTCTTGTGCCCGTCCTGGACCAGTCATGGGGACTCTGGCTGGCTAGGCCTGAGTCAATGCCCACCCTGGGAGCTGGGGAGGGGGCAGCCCCACCCAAACCAGGAAACTGAGTTGGGAGGGTAGCTTCTTCTTCTTCTTCTTCTTTTTTTTTTTTTTTTTTAAGATTCTATTTATTTATTCGACAGAGATCACAAGTAGGCAGAGAGGCAGGCAGAGAGAGAGGGGGAAGCAGGCTCCCTGCTGAGCAGAGAGCCTGATGCGGGGCTCCATCCCAGGACCCTGAGATCATGACCTGAGCAGAAGGCAGAGGCTTTAACCCACTGAGCTACCCAGGTGCCCCGGGGAGGGTGGCTTCTTGAGGGAAGAGTGGCAGTGTGTATGTTGGGAGGCAGGCTGTTTCCAGAAGAGAGGCAAACCAATCGCAACAATCTCTTAGCCCTTGATCTTTTTTGTCTTATATCCATTTTAGTCCCATTGCTAGAGTAATTCTTCCTAAAGCCCATCTCTGACCAAGTCACTCTACTGCTCCTTAACCTTCTGTGGCTCCCTTTTGCCCATGGAATTTGGCACTGGCTGTCTGCTTGCAGCTCCGGTCAGTTTGTCCCCACCCGCATGTCATACCCACACCCTTCTTTGTGCACCTGCAGCCTGATGATACCTTCCAAACTTTGATTTTGGAGGTTCCCTCCAGGCAGAATTCCTCTTCCCTGTCTCTGCCCCCCAGCCAGCCCAGAGTGATATCTTCTTTATTTCAAGAACCCAGAGTTAGAAAAGCTCTTGAGTCACATCCCAGCTGTGTCTCTTGCTTGCTATGTGACCTTGGGCAAGGACCTCCCTTTCTCTGTGCCTCAGTTTCCTAGTCTGCAAAACGGGGATCCTGCCAGTGCCTACCTCTGACAGTGACTGGGAGTGTTGGCTGAAGTAACACATTCAAAACGAGAGCATGGGCCCCTGATGCACCAGGCTGTGCTTACTGTTACTTTTTACTGTTTTTGCTCTCCTAGCTCTTCGGATGGCATTGTGCTTTCTGTGCACACGCCGGCTCAGTGCTCAGTAGGCACACAGCTCCTGATTAGCCCCAGTAGGCGCTCAACCCCAGGCTGGCAAGCAGTAGGTGTTCAGACCCATGTGGATGTGTGTTAGACCTTTGGCCTCGGTCTGCATGCAGAAGGTGCTCGGTACATAAGCATCTACTGCCTGGTGGTTAAAGGTGTAGGCTGTGTTGAATGGCCTGGGTTCCAGGTCTCGTCAGTTATGTGACCTGGGGCAGGTCACCTTTGCTATAACATGGTCATTAGGAGGATCAAGGAAGCAATTCCACAGCAGCAAGGATGTCCTAAGTGGTCCTAAAGTGTTAGTTACAGTGATTGTCACCTTGTTGGTGGAATTTAATTGATGTGGAAGCAAAGTGTGTGGTCTGAGAGCACCAAAAAGGTGGGAGAGGGTAAAGAAACCAGGAGGAGGAAGTGGGTACAGGACTGCATCAGGGGACCAGTGGTACCCCTGAATTACAGCAGAAAGGGCTCACAGATCTTGTATATGTGACCAGCAGCGGCTCACACGGTCTCTGAAATCA